ATAGGCCATTTACATCCTGGTCGCAGGAAGTCCTCTATAGGTATATAAATCCGATTTACCCATATCCCAACCATTTTCCATGGGATTGGTTTTATGTAAAAACGGCCCCAGAAATCAGCCTTGTTGCATGTTCTCATATTAAATTCTCTCGCCCCCAACTTGAACAAAATTCAGTGTGAATGTCCTGGGGCCAATTTCAGACGGCATTTAAAAAGTCGAGCTTGGCGCAGTGAGAGGACAAAAATCTCAAAACCATAGTTAAACCCTTCTATCACAGAGTTATTGTTGGGACGATAGAGGTATCTACTTACTCCGCCCATTCAGTCCGCAAATCATGTTTATGAGCAATCCTCTGGTCGATGCCGCGCCGCAAGCTATGCCTAATATCTCATTTGACCAGTTCATCATCTTTGGTGATTCGATCACACAAGGGGCGTCATCTCAGAGGGCTGGGTTTGCCTTTCAGCCCGCACTGCAGGATGGTATGCTAACCAGCTTCATCTTTAATAAAAACTTGGAAAACAGAGGGCTTAAAAGTCTGTAGATTATGTTAGGCGTCTCGATGTCGTCAATCGTGGCTTCAGGTAAGTATTATCTACTGAGAGAAATAGCTTAAGATCCTCGCGATGCCGATCTATATTCTGATACAAGTAACTAGCGGCTATTCATCCCCTCAGGGCCTGGTAATGCTCGACCAATTTTTTCCGCCTGTCGAGCGAGACAAAGTTCGACTCATGGTATAACTTTTGCTGCCTCGATTCCCAACCATTTGCTATAATCCTGACCTTATTTTTGCAGACTGTCTTTTTTGGCGCCAACGACGCCGTACTACCCCCTTACAAGCAACACGTCCCGCTACAGACGTATCGGCAGAGTTTGCGGGATATTGTCACCCATGAAGCGGTGCGTTCGCATAAGACTAAAGTCCTTTTGCTCACGCCACCACCAGTCAACGAGTATCAGTTCGAAGTGCTCGATGGGACGAGCGGCCCTGCTGCTCCCATGCGAAGTGCCGAAAACACTAAATTATACGCAGATGCCTGCCGGGAGGTGGGAAGATCGCTAGGCATTCCCCTGGTCGACATCTGGACTGCGTTTATGAAGGAGGCCGGCTGGGTTGAGGGAGAGCCTTTGGCAGGATCGAAGAAAGCGCAGCCGAATCAAAAACTTGCTGCACTTCTCTCAGATGGTATGTTAAGCCCCCCAAAACAATATTACGTGCATTGGCAGCACGTTGTTATTTGAAAATGTACTTAGTCAATTTGGCAGGTCTTCATTTAAGCCCAGCAGGCTACAAGATCATGTATCAGAAGACGATGGAAGTGATCCGTGCAAAATATCCCGAAGAAGCACCAGAAAATTTGCCCATGCTATTTCCACCATGGGACAAGGCTCCCTATCACAAAACCTGCACATAGATGTTAACTTGGATGCAAATTTGCGTGTAGGGCAGGTAGCAGAGGCAAAGAAAACAGTGGCTTCGGCATATCATATTTCTCCAATATGATAAACTGCGTTTGCGTTACAGCGCTGGAGTTGTCACATTGTCCCAACAAGCGCAGGCTGCGCAGACCCTGATAGACTGGTCTGTTTTTTATATTATTGTAATCTATGGAATGGTTCTCATTGAATACTTCATTCACAAGGTCACTTTTGATTGGAGTGAGGAACATCAAGGTCACAGAGTACATAAGTAATATGACAATGTTACTGAAGGACGTAACATTTCTGATAGATAAGCAAGTCGACTCTGGATTGAACCAAACAAGCATAAAATTGAGCAATCTCAACCGCTTTGGAAGTAGCAGGAGTCTCCCAAAGAGCGGCATTCCTAGAGTCTGCTCATGCATAAGTACCGCTTCACATCAAGCCAGTAGCCGCATCCAAACGCACGCTGTATCTGCCTAGGGTTCTCTGTTTTCAAGGAAGGAGTTGAGGCTCTTTTTTGGTTTTTATAAATGCAATGCACTTCAGAACGGCTAGGTAGAAAGCTGAATTAATTCTCGATGGTGCTAACCTCCGTCCCACCGTAATCTTCGATATAGGCTACCACTGTCATTCGACAGCGGCCAACCAGTGGTGGAGTTTATACCGCCTTTGCAGGCATTCAAGTCAGAATGCTCTGCATATGGGCGCAAGGGACTCATGAAATCGACAAATGATATTAGTGGCCCCGATACGCTAGGCTACCAGGCGGACGTTGGATTGAATGAGTCAACGGATGCTGTGGCGCGGCCGCCAGTATGTCCTGATTCAATCGATGAGAGACACAAGCAGAGCCTCTTGAGGCATCTTCATCCGCTGTCACCTGTGGCCCGTCAATTCTTCAACCATTCCGAACCCAGGGTTCAACAGGCACAATGTTTTGCCAAAGGTCACGTCGGGTTGCTTGATAAGGAGGCATCCAAGGCTGGATTGAGCGCCAGGATCAGCCTTGTAGATGCCAGGCCATCATCTTGAGTCATAGTCTCAACCGGCCTATTTGCAAAGGGAGAGCACATCAGGATCAAAAGAAATCAACAAGGGGATCTTTGGCATGCCACGCTAAACCCAACTGGTTCAAGGCTCGATTTCTCCGTCGTGATCGACCAACTTTGAGGAAGAGAGACAGAGAGAAGCATCATCAACATTTCACCACAATAACTACAGCAGACAGGATCTTTGCCTTCCACAGCATCCCCTCCCTACCTTCTGCTAGCTAGAGTAAACCAGCACAGTTTTGTTTTTAATGAAAAGAATCCTGCTGATTTTGTTCAGCGATTCTTTGTCCCCGTATTAGTTATCTTACTGGAAGTTCGCCCACCTCCAAACCAATTCTTCGTCCGCACGTCAAAGAAAACCCCAACTGAAACTGCCTTCCATCTCATCGCCTGAACAGCGGACATTATTCTCTAACAGCACCGCCTGCCCTCAAGAAGGCTTCTCCCGTGCCTCCCACGCTCACACTGGGCCTATCTCCCCGCCTTATTGCCCGTATCGATATCGACTTTCAACAGTTTCTCCCCGCCTCTCGCAACCTAGAACAACAGTCCATATCACTTTCTCGGATCTTCTAAGCGATATAGGACCTGAGTTTACGTCAAGCCTCTCTAAACGTCCCCCCAGCGATACGACCTTGAATTTACATGATCAAATTGGCGGCGCGGAGAACGACAGGCTGATTCTATTTCTTGTTTCAGTCTGGGTGGGCGGGGGCCTGCAGGCCATCTCGCGAGGCTCAGTGGGAATTTGTGAAACTCGCTGGTGAAGACTGAGGCGACTTCGCAGAGCTCGCTAGTAGTGTGACGAGCTTACGAACCTGGACTTGAAAGGCTGGTTTCACACCTGGCATTTCGAGAGACGCATATCGAATGGTTACCGTGGAAGCGTGCAACCGTTTACTCGTATAAGTCTCTCGTTTTATAATTGGGGGATCTTCTTGGTGTGGCGAGCAGCTGGTGATGGATGCGCAGTTTCCCTTTGCGTCAAGAGAGGATATCTGGCGCGTACATGAGGAAGTCAAGGATCTCTACGCAACCCAGTTGGAACACGGAGAAAGGATTGCAAAGTTAGAGCGGCGCAGGGAAGATGATGCCCGCATGAAAAGTCTTTGGGGCCCATTTTCTCCGTACGCTTCTACTGGCAGCAATCCTCCAATTCAAGGCAAGTCAATCGCTACCACAATCAGCATGGCAATTTCTGACCAACGCATCTCTCGTCCAGAATCCACGTATAGTCCTCCTGCCGAGCCGTTCAAGGGGTTCGACCAAGGGCATCAGCATACTGCCGCCAGCAATATTGTCTTAGAGACCGAAGAGGATACTAGACGAGGCGCTTCGAGGGCAAATAGTGTTCGGTTCGACGAAAGCTCCATGCACGGGTATTACAATCACGCCAATCGGTCAGCGAGTGAGCTGCCTCCTGTGAGAACTGGAAGTGGACAGGGAAGCCATCCGCTCACCGAACGCTCACTCTCCCACCGGTCAGACGGCAACAAGAGCTCGTCCGGTCAGTCTCATCGCACGTTCAGCCTAGGCTTGGATACTGCCAAAGCCAACGGATCTACAACAGCTACAACCATGACTCCGCCTCCAGGGCTTTTCATTTTGGGTCCAGTTCCTTGCATCATTCGATGCTGGCTTACAACCCATTTCTCGAATGACTCTTTACTCTACGCAGCGATTTGCAGTGGGTCGTACTCTTCGGCTATCACCTACCGTATGATCCAAAAGTTGGGGCTTGAGGATGAGATGGCAGAAAATGATGGTTTGCGGATCATCAAGCTACCCATGTACTTTCCAGAAGCTAGCATCTATCAGCCATCGTCCCGTGCTGGAAGCCCTGCTCCACACCTGCCCGCCGTCACTGTACAGTTTACTGTTCGCGAGACACTTCCAGCCGACGACAGGTCTATCCAGATCTTCATCGGTAGCGATGTTCTGCGTCTCAATAACGCAGATATCTTGTTCTCTCAAGACAAAATGCTCATTTTAGATGATGAACGAAATAGAATCTCGGTCCCACTTGTCCGTCCCGAAAACCAGGAGGTCTTTAAGACACTGTCAACCGGCCCACGGTCGTATCCCGTTCCGATTTATGGCATGAACGGCGGTGAACGTATCCATACCCTGGAGCACGAAGATGTTGAGTCCGGAACAGGAAGTAAGCCCAGCAGTCCAGCTCCACAGGCTAAACCAAACCAGTTCGCCCTGCCTTTCCGAAAATTGAACGACACCGTCGATGCGCCATCAAGGCGCTCCGCCCATTTCGCGGAGACCGCTGAGGAACACAGCCCTCCTCAAACACACCCCAGGTCTATCGCAAACGATAAAACGGGTGAAAGATCCTCTAAGTCTGAGGGAACGGGTGTGTGGGGTCCTTGGAGGCGAGATCAACCAACCCAGAAAAGTGAACCAGGGCCTTATTTGGCTGCATATCACCGGAATGTTAAAAGCCGTAATATGAAAGTGCTGAAACCATCCAAACCGGTTTCACGCCAAGTATCCGGTGCGGAAGCAACACCCGCTCGACCTTCAGATCGTGGAGCTGAGCATGGCGACGGAAAACCTGACAACGCATGGAACAAGACTCGAAGCTCGAATCCAGTTGGTGGTGCCTCAGCATTTGGCTGGCTTAATACCAAGACAGAATCTAATAACACCGATTAGTTGATTTACCACGCCAACCATTGCTGCATGATCACTGAATCAAAAATACCTTCACTGACCCTAGTGTGGCTCTGAAGTTTTAACCACATTATGCTTGCTCTGATTGTTTCTAGGCGTGCCTGAGAAGGCTATTCGTTTGGAACTATGCTGTGATTTTGCATGACTTTATGTTTGTGGCGGGAGGAATTGTCTGCTCATACCAATGTCTTCCCCTCCAGCTGGAAGATGCTGGAGGATATATAGCACCACATGAGGGAATGGTGGTGTAGGTAGCTTCTATGACTGGCCTGATGAGGAATAATCATCCAGGCTGAATGAATGAAGAAATGAAAAATGCCCTGTCATTAGGAATGTCCCTTTGTGCAGTTGAATTAATGCGACAGCAAATGATACAAACAGAACAAACAACACAAACGTTCCCCGCACTATTCCCCACATTCCCCAACTCCGATGCCTAGGCTGAATTGTTCGGTATCACAACAATCGCCCCCTTGTCACCTCTTTCTCGTCTCTTCAAGGTTAACCTCCATTTCTTCTATTTGAAGTAACATGCAATCGGGAAGACTACCAATCTCTTCATTATTCGCTTCCAAGAGCAGAGTCCAATACCGAGCTTTGAATTCAATTACAAGTCGAACTATGGCAACGTCAAAGAATACCCGGATAAGTGAGTGCTCTCGAGTTTGTCGTTAACAAAGCTTGGACATGGCTGTTTTAACAAGTTAATACTAATCTGCGATTGTGCAGAGAATCCGGCTCTCTTGTGCGTATTTATCAACCAGCATCAATCTCAAAATGCGCTGTGTTTCACACGTGCCTCTACCGCGGTCTAACGAAGAATTGCGATAATAGTGTTTGTGATATACAGGAACGGTTTAGGCCTATTATCTATGAATTCCCAAAAATGTGAGTCGTTTTCCTCGAAGTAGACTGTCTTAAAACTTAATTGCTCACACTTCCCCCGTCAAACATCAGGGTATCATCCTCCCTCAAAATCCTACGAGCCTGCAAGCCACTTGGTATCCCTATCTACGTGACGACTCAAAACCGCGCCCGCCTTGGTAACACCATATCCGAATTCGCTCCCTACCTTGACCCCGCCACCTCTAACGTCCGCGCCGACTTCGATAAGACGCTCTTCTCAATGGTGATCCCGGAGATTAAAGCTCTTCTCCCCAGTACCATAGCCACGGGTGGTAACCAAGAGGCTCTCGACGTCATTCTGATTGGGATCGAGTCCCACGTGTGTGTTTTGCAGACGACATTGGATTTGCTAGCGCTGGGACATAGGGTGTACCTGGTCTGGGATGCTGTGAGTAGCTGTAATGCTGAGGAGAGGAATGTGGCGCTGGCGAGGTTGAGGGATGCGGGCGCAATTGTGACGACGAGCGAGAGTATATTGTTTGAGGTGATGGGGGACTCGAAGAGGGCGGAGTTCAGGGAGATTAGCAAGCTGGTAAAAGAAACTGGTGAGGATACGAAGAGAGCTTTGGGCGCGTTTTGTGCAAAAATGTAGAAAGCATCGCTACGGGTATCATGAGTGCCTACTTCAGAAATTACTACACGGAGAACTTGTTTTCAAACCTCTTGGTATACAGTAATTTCCAAAAGCGACCTCGTTGTGCAGATCAATGTCAAACTTTTCAGGGCTGTTTTATTCCATTTTCGTTAATCGTATTAAGCAAAAGAAGCATTTTATCTGAGCACAGGTGCGTTGCCTCTACTGAAAGATCTGAACGCGGGTCGTGGAGATGAGAACCTGACGCCCGAATTCAATCTCTTTGTTAAATTTTAGGTCCCTACGAGCCATTGCTCTTGCGATCGACTTTCAATACAACAAATTTCGCACGGTCTTTGATCCAATTCTTTTTCACGTCAGCTTTTGTCGCTTCCCGCAGAGCATACAACTCATCCAGGAGCGCAGGAACGAATGTTCCTGGCCCGTGAACATGCTCTTTCGAAGCAGCATTCTCCGCTGCAATTTCAAACATCAGGACTCCCGCGAGAACGGCGAGTAGTTTGTCAGTGCGCTCCACTGCAAGGAAAGCTGCCGCGACGAGGCCAATCACGCAGCCAGTCTACGGGGATTAAATAAGATGTTAGTCGGTAAGCCGGTGAAAAGAAGGGTTTTCTCAGAGCTTACGCCGGTGATTTGGCCGAGATAGGGGTGCCCATTGCTTATAGCAATAGTACGTATGCCATCACTAAGGAAGTCGACCGGTCCTGTCATGAGGACAATGTTTCCTACATATCCTCCGTTAGTAACGCTACTGCTTAGTGATGAACGTTCTATGGGGTGCGTTTCGTGTAGCAATAGAACGATAGGCCACGGCTGCAACGCTATGCCTGACTTTCATAGCTAAGAATAGAATAGGGAGAAAAGGTAGGAAGCTCACTCTCTCTGCTTGCAAGGTCTTGGACCATTGCAACTTTCTCCTTTGGACCTAGGGTGCTTGGACCGCTGTCGACACCAATCTGTCTCGTGGGAGACTGCCCGTAAATCGCCTTGATCTCGCCTTCGTTACCTTTGATGAGATCAAAATACCCTCCGGCCATGAGAGCCTTAACCATATTTTGGCGAACATCAGTCGCGCCACCTCCAACCGGATCCAAAACCACCGGATTGCCGCGTCGATTGTACACCTCCATCGCCTGAAGGTAATTCTTTTCACTGTCCGCATTGAGGGTGCCCATGTTGATTAGCAGTGAGCCGCCAGCATTAGCGAGATCATCAGCTTCAGCCCCGTAAGGGGACATAATAGGTGAAGCACCACTATGGACGTCACAGAATCAGATTATGAACCGAAAGAGGGAAATATTCCAGAGTGCCAAAGGGCTCACATTTGCAAGGAAACATTAGCCGCAAAGTTGGCGACCACATAATTGATCATACTGTGGACTAGAGGCATGTCGGTTGCAACTTTTTGCACCGTGTGGATGGCGTTATCTAGAAAGTAGCCCAATTCATCCTTGCGGAGCTCGGGTGGCATCGTCGCAAACGGAGGGTTTTTAGTGATAGCTTTGGCAAGAATAGCGGCGGCTTTCTGAGGTTCTGAGGCTGCCATAACCGCACTGACAATAGCAATGCCATCTAAACCTTTCCTCAACGCTTGGGACTGGTAGATTACCCTCTGAGCATTTCCTAGATTGATACCACCAATGGCGACGGTACCGATTCTTCTGCTAGAAGTCGATAGAAACTCCAGGATTTGTTTCACGCCAGAGTACCGATGATAGACTTGGTATCGGTTTCCTAAGATGATCAGTTTCAGCAAGTCTCGAGGGTACTGATCCGAGACGCGTACGTGCTGTGCAAACAGTGCGATACGAGATATGCCCTCTCGACAGCACTGTGCTCTTGACAGAGCATACAGTCGCGCGATATAGTGTCTCGTAGTAGCTTGCGCGCGCTCGATTGTCTGCAAATGATAGCCTCATATGAACGATAGGTGCGCAATCAACCCATGTCATCCTGCCTAGATGACTCCTCAGCGCCTACGCAAGGCCACATCACTCTATCATTGATAATCAATGGAATGTTATGGGCTCTGGTTATCTTGTGCAGTGTTGCAGCTGTCTCAATAAGAGCGCCTGTGTCTGCATGCTTGTCCCTATACTGAACAATTGTGACCCCTATTTGCAAAGCATGGGTGTGAGCATCTTCCTTTCCTTTAAGACGAAAACATTGTTTCATCGGATCTCTTACCCCCCTTGGCTGCCTGCTCAACAACAGCACAGAGATCTCTATCACCCAGAATCTTTGGGGTAGAATCTGTCACAAGATAGAGCGATAAATCTATGGGCATCTTTTCTGTATTATACAGTTTCCAAAGTAGGAATCATGAATTGGTAGTGGTGTAAAAGATGATGTTTTCAGTGAATTTGAGGTGCTAGAAGAAGGGCACACACAGGGCTAGAGAAGGCTGAAAGAGACACTAAGGAAAATAGTGCCGACGAGTCAGCGAAAGTCACAAACTAGCACCAATTAGGGCAGTGGACATTTAGATCTCAAAAGAGGGACATGAATCCCAGTCAGGGTGGAAGCTGCGCTACCTAGGAAGATCATGCACCAGGAGTTCCAACAAAGACAGCTGCAACCTTGATGCATAGATGGAAGAAGATCAATACATACAATTGAGAGATTAGCTAGTACAATCTCGCTTTCACATTGAGATGCATGGAACTTGCAGGGAGGAAAGGAGAGCCACTTCCGCTGCACTTTTCACAAATGGGCCAAGAAATCTCTAAAGAACGAGTAAGTAAGAAGAAAAAATCAAGTAACCAGGAGAATCAAGAATCCCCCTACCATAAGGCAATGAGCGTGAAGTAATATCGCAACCCAAAGGGTGTACACGACTTTCCGATGACCCCGTTTAAGCCCAAGTATCCAACTGGAAGAAAGAGGAAATGTAGAGCTCCAATTGAAATAAAATCTATTCAAGCCTCTAAATAACCGCCAGTGAAAAGAGCGTAAATAGCACTCACCAGCAATTGACACTGGATTTTCTCATCGTTTTGCTTCCCCTCAAAAGACTTGACGTTGAATAAGCTCGTTCCCTTAGATAAGATAAACTTCGATAATCTTATCAATCAGCCTGCCACGTGCCGCCATGCTGCACGTGATCTCGGCTCTCGGCTCCAGCTGCCGTTTTGCGCGCTTTGTTTCAATGATTAGATAAGCAGAAGAAATCTCTTCGTTTTTAATACCGTTTCGTCGATACGGCGTCGTAAAAATAGATTACGAATTCAACGACATCTCTTCCTCGTCCACTTCCTCCACTTCTTTCTCTTTCTTCCTCGCATCAAACCAATTTTGGTCCCCAACTGCATCAACATCTCATCGAACAAGCCCTGGTTTTTATTCCTGATCGTCTTCCAAAACCACTTTATTCTACTGGCGAAGTCTTGTGTTGTTTAGCCAGATTACTTCTGCCTACCGAACCTCGCAGAGAGATCGTTTGGCTGTCTCATCTCCCAGAAGCCGCCGAGCAAATTCGAGCGACTGTCTATGTATTCGCCCTACGTCAACGCTTTCGAACACCACCTGCCGCTCAAGCTGCAACCTTTTCGCCCTGTGCGAAAACCTTGTAGTTACCATTCTAGATCTTGTGGCTGAGAATTGCTCCCCACGTCGCCAACCGAACCCTTCTCCTTAGAAAAGGGAATTTCACTGTCTCCCGCAATATCCTAGATTGTCCGCCATCTCTACTACGCATGTCTTGTAGTAGCAGCCGCACTCTGGCTCTTCATTTTCCCGGTGTTCCTCGTTCCTTGCCTCCGCAGTCGATTGCTCTCTAAGACTTATCTCAACCCATCCACCCAACATGGCTACTGTCAACATTCGTCGGGTAAGTTGTATGCCATTTGGTCGTCCTCCGGACAAAGTACTCTACTGACGGCTCATTGCTCATACAGGACGTTTCCGATCCCTTCTATCGTTATAAAATGGAACGTCTACAAGCCAAAATCGAAGGCAAAGGCAACGGTATCAAGACTGTAGTTGTCAACTTGAACTCTGTCGCCCAGGCGCTTGGTCGTCCTCCAGCGTGTAAGTCTTCTAAGCATTCCCACAGGTCACAATTTATCCGTCTAACATCAAATAGATTTGATCAAATACTTTGGATTCGAACTTGGCGCGCAAGCCAACCCAAAACCGACCGACGACCGTTGGATTATCAACGGTGCCCACGACGCTGGCAAACTTCAGGACTACTTGGACGGATTCATTTCCAGATTCGTCCTGTGCAAGAAATGCAAGAACCCTGAAACAACCGTTGTTATAAAAGACACTCGTATCCTTTTGGACTGCAAAGCTTGTGGTGAACGCTCCGAGGTCGATGGCCGCCTCAAACTTAGCGGCTTTGTTCTGAAGAACCAGCCAAAGAAGGGAAAGAAAGACAAGTCAACCAAGAAAACCCGACGTGAGAGGAACAAGGAAAAGGCAGAAAACGGAGAAAATGGAGAAACCAACGGAAGCCCGGGAGACAGCCCTTCCGAGGGAGATGAGAACGGTGACGTGGAAGTGGGAGCCCATAGTGACGACGAATTCACACGTCGAATTAATGCCGAAGCTAAAGAAATCGAGCAAGACGATGAGATTGATGACGATCAATGGGCCGTTGACGTCTCCGAAGAAGCCGTCAAGGCTCGTGCTAAGGAGCTACCCGACGATCTCAAACGCTCGCTTGTTTTCGAGGATGAAGATTGAGGCGAAGGCGAAAATGGTGGCACTAATGGCTATGATCAGCTTGGCAGCTGGCTCGTTAGCGAAGCTGGACAATCTGGAAAAGGCGTCTCGAATGTCAGCGATGTGATATCTATGTGAAGGCTAAAGAGCTGGCATCGAATCGAAGCACAAAACCCTTACAGT